CAAAGAAGAAACAACAATGTCTGATCATACTTGCTAGGACATTTTTTTTTTTTTTTTTTGCATTTAACCTCCTAATTGCCAGAAGCAGGTAAATTCTTCCCACTTTCTAAATAAGGAAACTGAAAGAACCTCTTTCTCTGTTCTTCCAGTTTGCATAGATAGGTCACAAACTAGGCTGGCAGAGAGAAACAGGGGTCCCTGATATCTTGTGCTGGTGAACAATGCAAAGTGTACCTACAGGATAGAAGCCACTGTTCTCTGACTCTCTGACACTACAGCCAAATCACTCAGCCTCCTCTGGGCTTTTTTTCTCCTACCCATAAACTGCTGGCATGAGCAACTCCTCTCTCCCTAGCTGACAAGTTTCCAAGTTCTATCAAGTGCTCTGAGCACCTCGAGTGAATATTCTAAATAAAAGGCACGGTGACCCTCACTACAGCTAACATTTAAATAACAGCAACTGCTTTTTGAGCACTTAGTGAATGTCAGGCCCTGCGCCACGCAGAGTTGTGCTCAAGAACATGCACTCTCAATTTGGACAGATGAGTTGGAATCCCAGCTTGAGCACTCATTGGTGATGTGGATGACCAAAATGCAAAAACCTCACTAACTCCCAGGATCCTCATCTGCAAATGAGGGACAGTAACCGTACCTATCTCACAGAGGTATCAGAACAATTAAACAGAATAATGCAGGTGCTGCACTTTGTGCCTGGAATACAGAAAATTCTCAATGATCGCGGTCATGATTTTTACCCTGCAGGGCACTTGTGAGTGTGATATAATTTGATTCTTAGAATTCTCTAAGAATTGGGGAATATGACCCCCATTTTACAAATGATGAAGGTGATATGGCCAAGGATATAAAGCTAGTGATAGAAACATTATTCAACCTTGGAGTTGACTTCCAAGCCATAACCCCCCATAAAATATCCATGGATTCCACATAAGGAGGAGTCCTTGTAAGAATTCACTCATGAATTCTTGTAATTTAAGTCAGCAACTACTACATAGAGAAGAGAAATGGCAGTCTACTATATAGATTAAAGGCAGTTTCTGGAGTCAGCCTATATAGAATGAACTATTATTTTTACCATTTAACCTCTATGTGATCAAAGCCACATCAATAGTTATTTATCAACATTTCAGGTTCCTCATCTAAGGGATAGTATCCACCTTAAGATTTGTTGAGAGGATTAAATGTGACAATGCATGTAAAACAAAATTTGGAACATTGCCTAGCATATCATAATTACTCAAAAAAATGCCAGGTATCATAATTATTTCTCTAGCTCAAACAGCAAAATAGCAGCAAAAATAAGACTAAACTCAATGTCTTCTTGCTCCTACTTTGGAGTCCTTGAAATGTCATTGCAATGATAATATTAATAGCCACTGTTACTGTGTACTCACAATGTGCTAGCCTGGATATTAGGTGCTATTCACATATTTCTTTCATTCTTTCAAAAAAAAAAACTGTGAGATTGGTATTATCAATCTCACAGAGTTTGTTTCACAGATAAGGAAACTGAGGCTCATAAACATGAAGGGCCTCACACAAAGTAAAAGTATCAAGAAGTCAGAAAGATGAGTTCAGAGGCAGGTCTGCTGAATTCCAAAGTCCTGCTTTCTTCTCTACAGGGCGCCACCTGCAGGGCAGAGGAGGGTGTGCAGCTTGTCAGGGTTAGCTGAAGCTGGAGCAGAGGACGAGACGAGATGAAGTCTATCCTCTTTTTCTGGACCAGATTCACTGAGTACCTCCTCCCTGCATCACCCTTTGGGATATTAATATTCAGGTGAAACAACCTTCTAGAACAAGGTGGATGCTTGAATCAGGCCTTAACAAGCCTACAGAGCATGCTAGTTCCACCCCAGCAGGCATGGCCTGTAGTAGGTTCCAGTGGCTGAGTGGGAGCTGGCTTCCCTGCATGGGTGGGCAGAATATTTATGCAGAGAAAAAGGAATAAAGATCACAGACTCTGGCCTCCAGACTTCTTTGAGATCTAGCTGAGTGCTTTGGGTTCCATCACAAACCATCTCATATCATCACCTAAGATGAAAACAATACGACATCCAAACAGCGTCAGAGCCATGGTTTCATGAGTAGCCATGTGACACAATTTTGGAATCTCAGGAAAAGCCTGGTCCCTGACCTGCCTTTCTGTTAGCCATAGGCAAGTCAATTAAACACACTGAGTCTCAGATTTCTCCTCTGTGAAATGGAGAGATAGATCCCAGCCACCCTGAATGCCATTTTGAGTAGATGCTTGTGGTAGGGAAAAGCAAACCTTCCTGTTCTTGCTGAACTGTCTGTGGCCAGAACAACAGGGATGGGGTGGTCAGCCTCTAGGCCAACCCCTGCTGACTGGCTGAGGGATCCCAGGCAAGTGCTAGCCTGCCTTACAACTCAGTTTACCCACCTATGAAATGGGAGGGGATGATAAGTCAGCATACCTCTCTAACTTTTCAACAGAAGTGCTCTAATAATAAAAGCAAATGCTCTTAGGTGCCCAGCTCCTTTGACCCAAGGGCTTTATGTATCTGCAGGATAAGTATTTGTATAACCATCATTTTAGAGATGAGAAAAATGAGGCACAGAGGTTAAATACTTTGCCCCAAATCCCTGAGAGAGTTATGTGCCAGTGGGGCACTTCCCACCCAGGGCCTCAGGTTCTGAGTGCCTGTCACCTTTTCTCCTTACCTCAGAGAGTGGGCAGTGTCCTTGAAGGTGTGACCCACCTCTGAGAGGATTGGGATTCCAGTGACACCTTGGAGTTCAGCATCTCCTGGACATGACTCTTATCTTTTAAGGACAGGGAGGGGACAGGAAAGATCCAGATGGCAAAGCCCTGAATGGGGGAAAGACTGGTGGACCAAAAGGTGGCAGCCTCAGGCCACTTTGGCCCGTGGACAGGGAGAGTCTGCAGGGTGCAACTTCCACGTTCCCTACTCTGCCAGCCGAATCCTGAATTTCAGGGCAGCTCAGTGACATCTAGGTCTTAGTGAGTTATTCTTTCCACACTGAACTCACTGAGCAAAAGGGAAAGGTGAGGAACACCTACAGTCCTGGGGAGGAAGTCTGATTTAGTGAGATTAACACTGAGCCCCGAGGCAGAAAAGGCAAATTTGAGGCTCATTTATAATTGAGATCATAATATCTAGGTTACTGGGTTACGGGAAGGATATATGCAAGAAAATGCTGTGCTGCAACACAGAAAACGATTAATAAATATTAGTCAAAACTGAGTTTCGCTCTCTAACATCAAAGGAAGAAGAGCAGTCACACCCCCTCGGCCCTGCCTAACACCAGGTGGTGTCCCATGCCCCGTGAGGAACTCAGCAAGTACCCTAAGATGAGGCTCACAAATTTGCACCCCAAAATTAGCATGCAGGCACCCACTTGTTTGGCATGTGCCCACATCATTTGCTAAATATATATATGTGGAAAAAGTCTATCACACTCATTCCATGAATAACACAAAGGCCTTGATTTGTTCCTCCATGTGATCAGCATGTGTAAGGTCCAAAATTAACGCTGCTGTCTGGCTGGGGTGCGTGTGTGTGTGTGTGTGTGCATTTCTCCAAAAAGAGAAAACCTCTGAGATCTTACTCAGCCCTAATCAGAATGTCTAATGCACAGTGTTAGTTGAAGAGGATCAAGGAAAAGAGACTAAAACCAAGGTCTGCTCCACTATAGAGTCTTGACAAATATTGCTGTGTGGTAAACAGAAGGAAGAAATGAGAGGTGGAGGGTAGCTCGGCTTTGTTGAGTGGCCTTATACCCATCATTTCACCCCTCTCAGCCATACGCTCTTCATGCATAGCTTGGGGGTACCATTTCCTAACCTCATGCATCTGGAAGAGCTGCACTAAAGAAGCAATGGAGGAAATAAGGTAAGAGTGGCTCTGAGGAGTGCCAAGCACCAGGTAGATGTCAAGTGTCGCTATTATCAGATCTTGTCATGAGCCCATTAGACCTTGTACTTTCTGTATACTGGATTTATATTCTGAGTTTTTTTTTTAATCTACTATGCAAAAGCCTTTAATTATAGCTTTTTAAAGAAATCATCAACATGAGCCTACTATACCTTTTAGACTACCACTCAGGTGATGTCAGCCCTGGTAACCCTCTCAGTGGAGGCAGTAGCCTCAGAGAGTTCCATGTCATGGGGCCAACAGAGCCGGATGTCCACATCACCTCGCTGTGCCCAAAACTTCATCTCTACTGTGCAGGTGATGTGCCGGGCTTTGTGCATTCTTAACAAGAGTTCAATGAGATATTTCCTATAAGTGTGCTTAGCACAGTGCTTGACACATGGTAAATACTCAAAAAATTCTTGAGAGAAAACAGGATGCACAGGACATAGTTCAGGCTTGGTAGCCAGACACACTTGGATTTGAATCCCCAAGAGCAGCTCTGTCTCTTATCAGCTGTGCAGACTTAGGGTAAGTTTTTTGTCCCTTTGCCATGGTATACACGGTCATAAGGTGAGGGTAGTGGAGGGCTTCTGTGGACCACTGTGCTGGCTATGTCCAGCTGGGCTCCAGGGGTTGCCACGTGGCCGTTGTGAGGGTTAAAGCACCTGACTCATCATGGGCACTGGGGAAAGGGCAGCCCATTCCAGTTTTATCCCAATTTGCTTGTTCAGTCATTCTTGGAATGGCCAGTTGTACTTTGGAGCACTGAACCTCAGCCCTCAGCGAAGCAGGCCAAGCACGTGACAGATGTTAAACAGCTCTTCCCAGAGATGTCAGCCAAAAGGCCGAGGAGTTGGAGACCCTTTATTTTCTTCTCCGAAGCACAATTAGTTTGTCACAGCTGACAGATGATGGACGGGTAGGCGTCAGTCCGAGAGACACCACGGAGTCCATCTGATTTGCTGTTTATCATTCTAACCTCTTGCACTTGGCTCTCTCCCTCCATCTCCTGACAATTCCCGCCTCCCTGCGTCTCTCCACCTCACTGCCCTCCCAGCCCCCGCCCCAGCCCCACGCACTCACCATCACAGAGACGTGGAGGATGTGCATCTGCTCTTCGACAATCTCCGAGGGCTCCTGGAGCGTGGGGGCGGTGGCCCGGGCCAGCTGCCCAGAGCTGCTCATGGAGACGTGGAAGTACAGGGTGCCGTTCTCCAGCCACTGCTGTCTCCAGTGCACCAGGGAGATGTCCGCCGCCGTGCCAGACATCTCTGCAAGACAAGACCCAAGGCGCCGGGTGAGCTGCGTGCCTGGGCTCGGAGCTCCGGAGAGGAAACAAGCCGTGCATACTCAGGCTCTCAGAAGGCAGCTACTTCGTGCTCACATCAAGTCTACCGGCAGGGGATCGTCGCCTCCATATAGATGGGTCAACTGTGACCAAGACTCACCCCAAGTAACAGACAGCAGAGGCAGGGTTTGAACTCAGGTCTGTTGGGGGCCCTTTTACAAGCACTGCACATGATAAGGCAATTCGTTCTACGACAACAGGGGAATGAAACTAAGGGTGAAAATGCTTCCATCCTCCTGAGGCTCTGGAACTAGGAGGAGGAGGAGGGAAGAAATCTGTGAGAGGAGTCAGAGTTTAGAGTGTGAATTCTCTAGAAGCGGAGCTGGAAGTACTCATCATGGCAGAACCTCAGAGCTGAAAAGGCCCAAGAGCAGCATCTCAGCACAGGTACCTCAGTGTCAACCGGCACAGGATCGGAGCTGGACAAGAGGGTTGTTCTGAGCCTGTTTCTCCTGCTTCAACGAGCGAAGCTCCTTTTTTTTTTTTTTTTTGTAGTATACATAATGCACTCTCAAGAAAGAGAACGTTGGCACAAAGGATTCCATGACTTAAAAATACTTGAAAAGCCACTGCCCCATCCCAACGTTCTCATACAACCAGTGGGGAGTTAGGACTTTCTCATAAATTATAAAGTCAGATCTCCTGACTTGAAGTTTCTATCTCTGATCTCTATGCTGTTCTTCCCTCTATAAATACAGTTTTGAAATAATTATCATTGAAATAATAATTATAATCAAGACTATCATACCAATAGTCTCCTATTAGGTAAGAAGGGTGATAGCATAAGGTGCCAGAAGTGTCACCACACTGGGATGATACAGTCTTTCCATAGTACCTTCTCCTAAAGGGATGAGCCCATGGAAATGTCCTAGGACAAGGCCTATCAGTGCATCCTATGAATAAAAGGGGAGGGTAGTGGATTCTTGGAGAATTACGGAGGTCTGCACTCAAATTAGAGTTACAACAGGAGACAAGTAGCCTTAGCAGCATCTAAGGCTTGGAACTTTAGATCCCCATCCCAAGACACAGAAGTAATCTTGAGACTGAATTCCTGAAGTCCCCGAAGACCACGAGTGCATTCACACACACCCTTGGGGAGGACTGATGGGCAAGCTGAGTTAGAACTTCTCCTTACCCAGTCATCTCTCCCCATGTCCCACTGCAGCCCCTGTCACATCTGGTGAAATGAATGAAAAAGAGTCACCTTGAAGAGATGAGGAGATAATACCTGCCCGCTAAATTCCATCGAATTTTTTGATATTGTCCATTCCCAATAGACTCTTGCATTTTAAGGCTCACAATAAAAAATCCTTAGGAGAAGAGTATCTGGCTCTTGGTATATGCTTTAAAAAAGTTGGCTATGAATTTTTAAGTTAGCTATTCATTTATTATTATCAACATTATTATTAATAGGGACAGGATCTAATTCACCCTTCAGATGCTCTGGGAGAAAAAAAATCCTTGAGCCATCCTTAACTGCTTGCCTTCTCTCCCACTCCACAGCCAGTTCATCAGGAAATCCTTCAAAAATTGTCTAAAACTCAGTCCTTTTCTGCACCTCTACTTCAGCCACTTGGGCCAACATCCCAAGCTTATCTCACCTGGTTTGCTGCAAGGGGCTTCTCTCCTTCCACCCTTGCCCCTCTGGCCATTCCTAACCAGGATCCCAATGAGTCCTGCCACAGCAGAAGTCATCTCATATAGCTCTCTGTCCTCTCATGGCCTCCTACCTCCAAGTAAAAGACAAAGCGGCCAGAACATAGTAAGTTATTAGTCCAGGTGGACACATACCTGGGCTTCCCTTGCTGCTCAAAGAGTTAAACAGGGCTGGAGAGAATCACAAAGTTTCATCAGCTCTTAGAACATGGGCCCCAAACGGTCCACTGTGGTGCCCAGCGGGAGAACATTGGCTAGGTGACCAGTCTGTGAAGCAGGTGTCTTCCCAGCACCTTCTTCTCTCCCAGGCTGGGGGGATCTGCTTCCCCCAGCACCCCACCTCCCAGCCTCTGCAGCTGAGGCCTTGGCAGTAGCTTCTCTGGGCTGCCAGCCAGCTGGGCCAAGGCGAGGTGAAGACATTATGATAAACGGCCTGGCTCAGCACCTCGCTCATTTTTCTCTTGGTGCATCAAAGCCCAAAACCAGAGGCCCGGGGAACCGAGGGCTGACAGTTGCTACTAGAAATAGTGGGTTCTAATTCAGCAGCTCTGTGTGCTGCTGGCTGGGCAGGCACATAATGTGCTGAGTCCCTGGAATGGCACCAGAAGAAAGCTCCAAGGTAGGCCACCTCTGATTGACACAGCCTGGCACAGACGGAGACAGAGGAAGCAGAGGGACACTGGCAGAAATCTGAGCTCTTTCCTCCTAGTGTTCCCATCAGCCTGTGCCTGAAACCCCACCATTAAAGAGGCTTCTTCAGATTGGGAAGCAAAGGGTCACAGGTTAGTGACTTGTTTAAGTTCCCTGTTGAATACATACCCAGCTGGACCCAGTGGGTCTCCAGTCCACACAGAGCTCTACCACGCCAGTTGCACTTACAACATCTCCTTTTCCTTGACTATATTAGCCCATGAACCCAAACTAGATTGAGCTCTTTGTTTGCTACTGCAACGAGTGCACCGTCAGCAGACAGTAAACGTTAAATGATAATAACAGTGTGTGAAACACAGTAAATATTGAATCACAGAGAATAGCTCTGGACTTACTCTATTACAAAGAAAAGAAACTGTTGTTGGAGGAAGGAGGGAGACGTAAGATGTCAAAGAGAAAACTGCTTTCTTTAGCAGACACAGAAGGCCTTGATCATTCATTCATCCATCCATTCATTTATTCATGCATTTATTTATTCATTCAACATACTTACTAAGCACCTACTCAATTCCAGGCAGTTTAGTAGCTCAGAATACGGAGTTAAACGAGACATAATCTTGCCTCCAGAGAGCTCACAGACCTTTGGCAGAAGAAATTCTACCCAGCCTGCTGCTGCCTCACCGCATGTCACTGGAGTCCCCACACAGGAGCACATTCTCCATTTTCTGTGGCCTAGAGAATCGTGCATTATCTGGCCTGTCTCCTGCCACCATCCCTTCATGACTTGCTCCAGTCCTACAGGACTTCCAGCTGGTCCTTAAACAGCCCAGCCTCCCTCTTGTCTCAGGGCAGAAGTCCCTTCTGTCTAATCTGCCTAGAACTTTCCCCAGAGAGCTTGCAGGCTGGCTTCTTCTCAGTGTCTGCCTCTCAACCCAAAATATACCTGCTCAGAAATCAGTGCCTGTCCACTCTAGCTAAAGTATTCCTTTCCACACACCTCCAAAGTCTATTAAATCCTCTTTACTAAACTTTTTATAGCGCTTCTCACTATTAGACATTTCTTTATACATTGTCTTGAATATGTGTTTGCTGCCTGTCTCTCGAGGAGAGCAGGAACCTTGCATGTCTTATTTCCTGTTATCTCTAAAGCACTTTGAAAAGTGCTTGGCATATAATAAGTGCTCAATAAATAGTGAATTGTTGAAATGTGTGCGTGTACACACATACATATACACACATGTACTTATACACATCTGTAATAAGATGGTGAAGGTAGTAAAAAGTAGAATTTGAAAAGTGTTAAATGTTACCAGAGAATTAAAAAAGGAATAAGTTAAGATCTATTAGGAACTCAAAGTGTGGGAAAAGACCCTCCTCGCTTGCAGGCCAAGAACTGTTTCTAAAATGTGGTGATATGAGCATTGCAGAGGATGGACATGTTAGTGTCCTTCCAATGAGAAGAGGAGGCATAGAGATTGACTGGGTATCTCAGTGGCAAAAGACTGGCAGAGCTGCATGTGCAGGGAGGAGTGTAGTGGAGCGTCAGGTTGGAAATGCAGTTCAGATGCAGAGTTAAGGGCTTTGAATGCTTGGTGACAGAGTGCATATTTTATTTCCACATGCAGTAGGGAACCAGCGGAGTACATTTGATTCGAGAGCCAGTCCTGTGTCCATTAAAAACAGGTTAAAGAAAATAGTAGCATGACCAAAACCAGCTCTTGAAATTCCCTACTGATTGATTTTCCAACTGCATTTTCCCCTTTCTCTTCCCCTACTCCTTCCATATAAACATTTCATTGAAGTCTTCAAGTCACATTACAATCAAACTTAAAGCAAAAGGGGGACTAAACGCATTTGGTCGGGAACCAAGACGATTCCCATAAAGGCAGATTATGCTGACATGATGAATATAAAATGAAACAGCAGATATTAAAGTGGGAGAATTGGTGCACCATGCCTTCCGGCAGCAGGCTGACTCCACTGCCTGCCTACTCCCACCCCGGTAAGCTTGGTTTTATATTGGAATCATAAAGAAACATAGGAATTGCTTTTGCACCTTTCTCTGCTCTCCCCCCATGGGCTGTAACTCGTGAAATATTCAACAGGCTCAAATCCCCTCAACCACCCCAGTGAAAGCCAAGTGAGAGGATCAGCCTTCATCAGTGATTCTGGGTAGACCACTGATGCCATTCAGTCTCCTGGAAAAGAAATACAAAATCTCAAAGGCATGTTGTGCTTTTAATCGGCTTGTTCTTCCTAATCTATGACATTCATTGTATTTCTATTTAATTCCTGAAGGTCATTATGAAAATAAGCAGCTCTCTGATCACCAGCCACCTTGGTAACATCTCCCAAGTGGCTAACTAACCCACCTTCCGATTCTATAGCACCAGCTGACTCGCCAGCAGATTATTCACAGAAGCCCAGAGAGAGCTTCCAATGAGCTTGTAAATGGTCTTTGCCTGGCTGGGGGGGGAAGGAGACATTATATGAGATGAACTCACTGCCTAAGCAGAAAGAGTTGGGTGAGGTAGTGATGTTGACTTCAATCAACCTTGCCACTAGCAGTTCCAGCCTCTACAGGTGGTCATCGCACAGCAAGTCCCGCTGAGCAGG